AATGCAGGACTTTTACTGTAACAGAGTATTCCTACACTCTGGTACTTCTACTTTTACTCAAGTACAAGATCTGAGTACTTCTACTTTTACTCAAGAACAAGATCTGAGTACTTCTACTTTTACTCAAGCACAAGATCTGAGTCCTTCTACTTTTACTCAAGTACAAGATCTGAGTACTTCTACTTTTACTCAAGTACAAGATCTGTGTACTTCTACTTTTACTCAAGTACAAGATCTGAGTACTTCTACTTTTACTCTAGTACAATATCTGAGTACTTCTACTTTTACTCAAGCACAAGATCTGAGTCCTTCTACTTTTACTCAAGTACAAGATCTGTGTACTTCTACTTTTACTCAAGTACAAGATCTGAGTACTTCTACTTTTACTCAAGAACAAGATCTGAGTACTTCTACTTTTACTCAAGTACAAGATATATACTTATACCACCTCCGTTTATAGCCTATGAAAAAAACTATTAGAAAACGAAGGCTAAAGCTAACGTTAGCAGATAGTGACAATGCTAGTTAGCTAGCTCAACGATAATATTGCGACATTGTGACTTTTCAGTGCACATCACGCTCTGCCGCTCCGACAGGGAGCTCTGCTCTGAACACCTGAACGGCCCGTTCTAACAGCTGTTCACCAGCGGTCCAGTCTGTGCCACAGTGACTCCGGACCACACAGTTAATATTAACGAACGCACCGTAGGTAATGTAGCTGCTGAAGCTAGACCCTCATCCCGGAGCGGCAGAGCCTTATTATACATCCATGAGCAGAGCCGACAGGCAGGAAGACTCGAGCACACAGCTCGCGCTTCATTATAATATATAAAAAAAGAACACCATGCGTGTCATGATGGCACATAACAGCTCGCGGCCGCAGATTACTCCGGGTCCCAGACCCCCCCCATACCCCAAAAATATTTTTATTGCAGATCTACATGAATCACACAAACGACCTATTTTGGATTCAAAACGGCGAATTTCGCCGAAAGGTGACAAGTTTGCATCCCTGAAATAACTCAGTTCCCTCTAATCATCAACCCATGTTTGTATCATTGAGTTAGCTCCGTGTGTTGCTGCTAGCATACATAACACCTGACGTGGAAACGTTACTCGTGGATGGGGCTATAGAGCTAGAAAGACAGTCGAACCCGGTGCATTCCTCCGTCTGAATGTGGAGCACTTTTGCTAAATGTTTAGACAAATTGCTCGTGTTACCGCCCTGACATGCTAAACTCTTATTGCACTTTTGGTAACGAGCATTGTCCACATCGAGACGGGTAAAGTTTAACCACACCTCGGCGCGCGTTCTCTCCGCCATCTCCTCTGTGTGTGTGTGTGTGTGTGTGTGTGTGTTTCTGCATGTAGCAGCTGCGTGTGTGTAAACCACCCCGCCCCCTCGCACACAGGCAGGAGAGAGAGATCTCTCGTCTGGATTGGAAAGATCGAAAATACTAAAAATAATCATAGACGCATTTTGCAGTTTTTTTGCATATTAGAAACGGAGTTGGCGACACTAAAACTGCAATGTAATGTTTGTGTAGCAATAATACATATGACATATATTTTTTATCTATAAAAATACATACATACAGCTTAATGGTACCACGGTCTTTAATAATTCAGCCCGGGGCTCGGTACCCATCCCTACACATGACTGGCTCGGCGGCCACAGGTTGTTTGTCCTTGACAGTCGCACAGTGGGCACACACTGAGAGTCTTTTCATATTCAGCACATGTGTACACGCTTCACTGCAGACCTCAAGAAGAAATAAGACTTTCATTCACTCACGGCAAAACTTACTTTACTTACTAATTTACTCACGGTAAAAAAATGCACTCCCTATTCCATTGTCATGACGGTGGAATGTAACTCTATCCAGAATAAGCTTTATTGGATCCGGGCTAGAAATATGTTTATTTCTGCTGTAAAGTTGGGCATGTTAACATGGGGTCTATGGGGATGGCTCCTTTCTGCATCCATCCCCTGTCGGCCACTAGAGGAACTGCAGTTTGTGGCACTTCCTTCTGGGCTTCCTGGCTCTGCGCTATGAAGCGCTGATTGGCTGTGGGTGGGCCCAGGCCCACCCGGGCCCACCCACAGCTACGCCACTGCTGTGTACATTATATATATATAGAATAATTATGATGATGAATGCATTTTTTTACCACTAAAATACAGCAACACATCTTTGATTCATGTCGTTTATAACTGGAATATTACAGTTATTATTAACTTTGTCTGCACAAAGTAGCCTGTCCAGGAAATATGCCCAAATCATTGAAACAGTTCATTAAACATGTTCAGCAGTAGAGGGGTTAATTTATCAGGAACATCTTTTTTGTATTCAGCAGGGAAGCCATCAGGGCCCGGACACTTCCCACTCTGCATCGACATTAGAGCAGCTTTGATTTCATTAACTGTGAAGGGTTCATCTAACCCAGACGATATTTCAGGATCAATGGAGGGGATGTTTAGGGACCTAAAGAAGTTGTCATATTGTGTCTCATCAGATGAGCCCTCAGAAGTATATAATGAACTATAAAAGTCCTTGAATTGGTCATTAATGGTTTGAGGATTAATAGATATTCCATCAACAGTATTCATTTGAGTGATGTGCTGAGAGGAAGAGGATTGTCGAATTTGGTGGGCGAGTATTTGGCTCGGTTTATCTCCGAATTCATAGTAATTATGGCGTGTTTTTAAAAGTGATCGTGTTGCCTCTTCTGTGGCCAAAATGTCAAATTCAGCCTTTTTTGTCAGTAATTCTTTGAGAAGATCTGCACTGGGGGAGTCTACACATCTTGTCTGCAGATCCGATAAAGCCCTGGAAAGGCAGATACTCTTCTCAGTATTGATCTTCCTTTGGTAAGCGCAATAGGATATGATTTCCCCTCGTAGATAGGCCTTGCACGCTTCCCAAACTGTTGCAGCAGATACAGCCGGGTTAACATTAGTGGAAATAAAAAGGTCAATGCGATTCCTAATAGTTTTGATAAAATCCGGGTCAGAAAGTAGTAGTGAATTGAAGCACCAGGGGGAACGTGACAAGGACCTGCCGGGAAGAGAGATGTCAACAATGACAGTTGCGTGGTCCGATATAACTATAGGGCTGTATGAACACGAGCTAACAGAGGGGAGCAATTTGTTATCAATAAGAAAGAAATCAATTCGGGAGAAAGTTCCATGAACAGGAGAAAAGAAGGGGAACTGCTTGGCACTAGGATTCAAAAAGCGCCAAACATCTGAGACTGCGTATTGCTCCATGAACAGTTGAATAACTTTGGAAGATGGGGCAGAGGGCTTGTTAGATGAACGGTCAAGTGAAGGATCAATACAACAGTTAAAATCACCTCCCAGAATGAGCTGGCTGGAATTTATGTCAGGAATGGAGAAAATACAATTTCTGAAAAAGTCCTCATTGTCACAATTCGGGCCATACACGTTCGCCAACGTCAGATTGTTGCCACATATTTTGCCAGTTGCGATAATAAAACGGCCACTTGGGTCTGATATAACATTGGACACAGAGAATGGGACAGATTTATGAACAAGAATTGCAACGCCTCGGGCCTTGCTCGAAAAAGAAGAATGGTAAAGCTGTCCCACCCACCCTCTGCAAAGTTTAAGATGGTCTGATGGTTGGAGGTGGGTTTCTTGCAAAAAGGCAATTTTAGCGTTTAAATGTTTTGAATGGTTAATCTTGGTGCTGTTAAGGAGTTAGAGCTTAGCATAAAATGATACTGGGCAGGTGGTGTACCTGCATGTCTCTGTCCCCATACCTGGCACCCCCCGCCTGCTGACAAGCAACAGGGAGAGAAAAGGTGTCTGTCTGTGATAGTGGAGTGTATGCTGTCCAGGGTAGATGTCAGAGACTCGAATGAGGAGAGCTGCTCTATGTTCATCCAGTAGCAAGCTAATGTCAGCCAAAGTTATGCTAGGAGTCGACGCTGACGGAGACCCTTTGCCCTTTTCAGCTTGTTTTCCCTTTGCTTTCGACATTGCCGGAGGTCTTTGCAGTTAACACTGGCTTATAAAACTGTTGCAAACAAATTATGTTGAAAAAAGACGAGGTTTAAAAGGTAAATAAGAGTGGGAAAGTTAGAGCCAGCGAGCACGCGTGTACTCAGCACACCTCATACCGGAAGTCTCCCAAAACGCTGCTGAAGGTTAATCCATAGGTTAATTCAATGTGTCTGTGTCACTTTTAATTGATTACTGATAATCCATCATTCCATTTTTGCCAAAAACTGAGATTTCATATTAGCTGCTATTAGAGCTACAACCCAGCTTCCGGTTTTGGGCATTCTGGCTACGCATCACTCATTCACCAATGGGTAATGTTTAGGTGCATTTTAGGAACTTCCCTCTCGATTCTATTGGCTCTAACGGTTAAAAAGAGGTGTCAATCATCAAAATCGACCGAGGGGGACCAGAGATATGGAAAATCCACCCAAATGACCCCAGAAATTGTTTGTTTTTTCTAAATCTCTCCAAAAAGGTCAAATGTCACTTGTTTTGCATCAATCTTGATACAGGGTACTTATATGTTATAATATTCCTAAAGCTTTCCTAAAGCTTTTAGTCTACTATCCCATCATTCAAGGGTGGTTTTCGTTATAAGTAATGTTTTTTTTTTGGACGGACACTATAATTTACATTTTTTTACTATGTTCTATCTGAATTTACTTTAAAATAAAAAACATCTATCTTGATTCTGACTTTTCTACATCCAACTCACAGGTTTATCATTACTTTGAGAAAAAAGATTATTAATTTACCCCTTTTAGAAGTGAAGATATGGTCATTTGTTCTGGGAATGTCATTTTCGAGCCTGAGACCTGAAAAACAGGCTCAGGGCTTAACAGGTTAAATATTAAAGCTATTTAAAACCTGCTCATCCTGCTTCAGGTTCATGTTAATAAAGTTGGTCAACATCTGTATATTCATGCTGACATAATCAAAACACTGAGTTTACTGTATTCCCTGGTTCCAGTCTCTCAGGCTGTCTGGTCACAGAGGAAGGCTGTGTCTCTCTGGCTTCAGCTCTGAGCTCCAACCCCTCCCACCTGAGAGAACTGGACCTGAGTTACAATCATCCAGGAGACTCAGGAGAGAAGCTGCTGTCTGCTGGATGTGAGGATCCACTCTGGAGACTGGAGACACTCAGGTATGGACAGACAGACTGAAGGTGTCTCTAATATCTCAAATGTCATGTTCTTCCTCTCATTTATGACACAGTTATTGAAATTATATTTCATTGAGTTTTTACACCCTCATTGACGGCTGAGTCCACTCTACTCTTTAAGAGACGCAAGTGATCACCAGCGGTTCAGTTTGGATTGTTCTGACTGTGTTCGGCTAACGGCTAACAGAGCTAAACTCACAGCAGGACTCAGATTCTCTGTTCAGAGGTTACAGGCTTACAACACAATCTGCCAGCTATGTGTTATAATTGTATCTTGATTATTTACTGGCCTGCTTTGGCCGATGATCAGCATATTACCTAGTCCAGGGGTCGGCAACCCGCGGCTCTCGAGCCTCATGCGGCTCTTTAAGCCCTCTGCTCTGGCTCCCTTGAGCTTAGACAAAAATAAGAAGGAAATCAAATAAAAGTATTTGTAGGACTAATTAAATGTTGTTGCGCGGTTGAAAATGTTTCGTATTGTAGTGATCACTGATTGACATAATTCACGCATGGAACTACAGGTTGGGGGTATTGTTTCCGCACGGACATATGTGTTGCTGACAGTATTTATTGTGTGCCCTCCTGGCTTCTTTCTCTTCTTTCCGGGCTGCTACCCGACAACATGTCCGTTTCTGCTGCTCATTAAAGCACCACTTTGTACCTTCAATGCACCGCTTCCGACTCCCATCTCTCGGCACTACATTGGTGACCCAGACATAAGTCTCGCGAAGTATCCGAGACTGAACCGAACACGGCAAAAAGCGCAGCTTTTCTCGAGATGCCGGAGATTTTTGGGGACGTCCGTGGCTGCATCGTGTGCACGGCCTGAGGCTCGGTGCGCCCTCCGGAATGGCCGCGGACGACGCTCGCCATTTCGGCAGTGGGGGACAGCAAGCCTTCCATGGAGACGATACACGACCATGCCTGGTTTATTCAGGACATGCGGCTGCGTGTCCGGCTGCGCTCGCTAACACGGCTAACGGACAGCTAACGACTAGCAGCTACCGGCTGACTGTTTCCATGTCGACATCCAACTGTTAGCCCTTTTATTTATTTTTGGTGCCGGAGAGGAGGTTCGATCAAGTCTGGTCGGCCTCGTGTGGATCCTCTCGCAATTTCGCCCACCTGTTTTTAATCATGGACAGGACGACCCTTTTGAGTTTTTTTCCTGGTGCCTGAGAGGAGGTCCGACCATGTCTGGTCGGCCTCGTGTGGACCCTCTCGCTTTTTCACCACCTCGACGGCGGCTTCGGACGTCGCCCACGCTTTCATCGGCGCCTGGGTGGCGCGCTTCTGGACCCCGTCTCGCCTCGACGGTTTTGGACGTCGCCCATGCCTTCATCGGCCCGTGGGTGGCGCGCTTTGGGACCCTGTCTGGCCTCTTCCCTCGCCTCGGCAGCAGCTTGGGGCGTCGCCCACGCCTTTATCGGCCCGTGGGTGGCGCGCTCCCGGACCCTGCCTGGCCTCTCCTCTAACCGCGGCTCACGGTTCGCCTCGACGGCGGCTTCGGACGACGCCCCGTCTGGCCTCTCCCCTGTCCACGGTTCCTTCCGCCCGGGGATGCTGCTCTTGCCCCCCGGGGATACCGCTCCTTCTTTCCGGGGACTTCGTGCCCGCCGCCGCTGTGCCTTCGCCTGCGGCCGGGCAGCGCTCCTCCCTGCTGGGGACCACCGGGATATTCACGCCCGCCCCCGCGTCGCAACACAGCGACCCTGCTTTCTGCGGCCCCCTGACGACGGCCCGTTCTGGCCCACCCCCCACCCCCCGGTGGGGATGCCCTCGCCCTCGTTGGGGCCCCTACCCTCTCCTGCGGCCCCCTTCCGGCGGCCCTTTCCATGGCCCGGCCCTCGCCTGCGGCCCCACCCTCCTCGGCCCCTGTGGTGCTTCCTCCCGGACGCGAGGATTGTGTCCATGAATTCTGGGGGGGCTTGTGCAGTGATCACTGATTGACATAATTCACGCATGGAACTACAGGTTGGGGGTATTGTTTCCGCACGGACATATGTGTTGCTGACAGTATTTATTGTGTGCCCTCCTGGCTTCTTTCTCTTCTTTCCGGGCTGCGACCCGACAACATGTCCGTTTCTGCTGCTCATTAAAGCACCACTTTGTACCTTCAATGCACCGCTTCCGACTCCCATCTCTCGGCACTACAGTATCTTGTATTTTGAGGTGATACTGTGACACATAAATAAAAAACAAAACGGTTTTAATTAGGTCAACTAAAATATGCATCAAATCCTGCTACGGTCCCGCGCCAGCGCCTTTTCTTGAGGTGAATAACCTGACCCCCAGCTCGATGAGCGAACTGTGGATACATCAAAGAAAAAGAAAAGTATGGGAGGAACACAGAGGGTTTGATTCTGCGTGGAGAGAGTTATCTGCTTTCACAGCAGACGATGCTGGCTTACCGGGATGTTTGATATGTGGAGAGAAGTTGTCAAAGGTGCTGCAGCCTTTACGTATTGCAGGAACAACACGGAAGAGGAAGACAACTGACGATCTTCATCATAACTCAATCAGTAAACTCTTTAGGGTGCAGCTATAGGTTTGATTTATTTCAAAGTGGGTACATTTTTGTTGCATTTTTTTCCTTCAAATGTGCAGAGGACTCCCAAGTGCTGTGTTTAATTTATTTTAAAGTAGGCCTGTGTATTTTAATTCTCCTTATAAGAGTCATTTGTTTCTTATTAGAGGTTAACAGTTTTATAATGTAATAAATAATAAATGCAAAAAAACTGTAGTTTTTGTCTATGATGTAACAATAAATACAACTTTATAAGCTATCAAGCTATCAAATATGTTTTGCGGCTCCAGACAAAAAAAATAGTTGGAAAAGTGGGCAAAATGGCTCTTTTGTTCAAAAAGGTTGCAGACCCCTGACCTAGTCGCTGATTGGAAACAAAAATGTACTTTTTGTGATTCTTTATTACGTAAACTGATGATCGACACGTCCAGGTACGCATCCTTTTTTCTCCTCCTAATGCCATCATGAACATCACATTCATGTGGATATCAGCAGGAGGAGAGCTGGTAAACTAAGCCGTTAGCTGTTAGCCGTTAGCCGTTGACTGTAAGCAGGTAGCTGTTAGCTGTTGGCTGTTAGCCGTTAGACGTTAGCTATAAACTGTAAGCAGTTGAATGTGTACAGGATGCCTCGCTGCACATTATCACGCTTATTACACGGCTACATGATAAACAAACTAACTACTTGACTCCTGATATGAATTCAGATGATTTTATTGACTTGAAAATGATGGTCATGGTTCCGGTGACGTCACCATACCGAATGGCAGCCTAGTCTAGCTTCTCCCCCGGTAAGAGATTAATTTTGCCTCGTTTGATTGCCAAATAAGAAATGTCTCTGTAAAATTAGAAATAGTTAACGGGGCGAAGATGGGAAGAAAGGATGGACAAAAGAAAAACATTGGCTCAGAGTCTACCAACGAAGAAAATACAACGAACAACTCGCCTGCACAGGTTGATGATGAGGAAGCTAGCGCAGAGCCACACGTGGCTAGCTTAGCTAAAGTTCTGGAGGAGATACGGGACTTTCGCAAAGACACAAAACAACAATTAAACAAAATGAAATCCGAGCTTACCAACGTCAACGTTAAAATAGAGGAGGCAGAAATGAGAATTGAAAACGTGAAAGGTGCTGAGCAAGAAGATAAAGGTAATGAATCAGCAAGAAAATAAACTGACTGACGAAGAAGGAAGATCCCGACGGGAGAATATAAGGATTTATAAAGTCCCAGAGGGAGCGGAGGGGTCATCTATGGTTGACTTGGTGAAGAGTTTACTACAAGAGGCACTTGAGATCCCCCCCACCACGGAGCTCGGCATTGAAAGAGATATTATATGCAAGCCATGGGAAAAGGTGTTTTTGAACGAGAGACAGATATATTTCTCCCAAGATTACCCACCAGCTATTTTGCAAAAACGTAAAGACTACTCCGAGGCAAAGCGAGTGCTAAGGCAGAGAAATATTCTCCTCCAGACCCCGTTCCCTGCTAAACTACGAGTATTTTAGGAGGACGGGACGAGGCTGTACCAGACTGCTGTGGAAGCATCCTGAGACATGAAGGACAGAGGACTGCTGTCACCGTGATCACACGGAGAGAGAGGCTGAGCAGCTGTCTGCCTGGGAGACGCTGGGAGGACAATAACCTACACAATTTCATAAACATTATTGAAAATCCATGGGTGAAATGTTCTCTTAAAATGTGGAAAACTATTATAAAAGAATATAAATTGGAGAATGAAAGTATCTTTCTCAAATGGTGTGCATATGACTCAGATTTCATGCCTAACAGATTGGATACTAGATTTAGGGACTGGGCTCTAAAAGGTCTAACAGCTCTGTGCAAGCTGATGAAAGGGGGAGCATTGCTCAGTTTGGATACCCTCAAAGAGAAATACACTTTGGAGAAACAGGACTTTTATGGATATCTTCAGGTACGGCATTATGTTCATTTGAAAGTGGAAAAAGTGTCAGAGGCAAGTGTAGGTTTGATAGAAATGTTTAGGAAAGCGTATAACGCAGATGTTAACGGTAGAACCGTATCATGTGTATACCAAGGATTGACAAACCTTAAAAAACACTCACTTACATAATAAAGAAGATGGAGCAGGAAGGAGGGATACATATATCTGGAGAAGAATGGGTAACAATGTGGAGATATCAATGGAAATGTATCAGCTGGCAGAACTGGAGGGAATATACCTGGAAGAACCTGATAGGATATTTTATTCCGCCCTCTCAGAAGTCCCACTATGATAGGACCCCCCCCTATATGTTGGAGGAACTGTGGTGACCAGAATGCAAACCACTTCCATGTATTCTGGGACTGTCCAGGTATCAAAGACTACTGGAAGGAGATACACAACGCCTTACAAGACATTTTCAAAGACATAATACCTCTAGAGATCAAGATGTTATACTTTAGGAATTTGAGAAAGGACAAATACTTCTTGAACATTCTGCTGAAAAGGCATTAACCAGGAAGTGGGTATGGAAGCATAGCCCGACTCTAAATGGATGGATGGACATCTCAATGGATATTTACAATATTGGAAAGATAACAGCATCTGTCAATCATACATTGGTCAATTTACTCCAACCTGTGAGAAGTGGACTCACTTTGTGAAGCCCTAAAGGCCTGACTTTACCATTACACAAAGCCCCTTCCCACCCTGGACACCAGCTGTTGGAGCTGCTTCCCTCGGGAAGACGCTTCAGGTCCATGAAATCACAGACAAATAGATATAAGAACAGCTTTTCCCCCAGTGCCATACGTGAGCTGAACACAGCCAGACAATCACAGCACTAATGGAGCTGAACTGATGCTCAAGTACATGTTCACATCCAACTGCACTTTATATTCTCCCTCATACCGTTTCTATAGAACACATGTTTATTTCTAGTTCTGTAATGATCAACTGCACTGATAAACATATGATCAATCACTTATGTATTGACTTGTTTCACAGATGTGTACTGCATTGACCGTATTGTTCGTGTACTTGTATTTGTATGGTAATGTTATATTGTTTTGTAAGCGTACTGTTCTATGTATGATAGGTCACATTTTAGTCTCTTTATATATTAAATGTTTTGAGCTTGTTTTGTCAGATGATACTTCTACTGTCTGTTATGTGTGAGTGCACCATTGGGAATGCTTTGAATGTCTCTGTAGAGACAATAAAGGAATCTGATCTGATCTGACTTAGTTTCCACAGATCCAGAACTCTGCTGGAAAGAAATGTCTACTCCCTAATTGATCACTGTTGTTCTGTTTGATTTTCATTTCTTTCTTTATGTCTTTCTCCTCTGTGCTTTTTGTGTCATCATGTGTATATTGCTGAGAAGAGCTATGAACAGATGTATGTCCTTCATGTGAAGATGTACAATATGCTGAGACAATGTTTGACACTAAACGCCAACAAAAAGTAAATAAGAATAAAAAAGCTTGCTCTAAGAAAGTAACCTCTGTTCCACGAGGTACCAGCAGCTAGGACTCATGTTGGATAGAACATCATCCTGACTGTGTTTCTTCCTCCAGGCTGGACCATGGTGGAGAGCAGAGGTTACAACCAGGTGTGAGGAAGTGTAAGTGTGGATCAGTCAGCTTCTCTCTAAAGACAAAGATGATGGAGGTGCTATTTATTCATTAAAACATGACCTCTTGAAGCTTTATAGAAAGATCACTGACAGAGAGGAAAGCCTTCAGGTGAGTCTGGTGATAAACTGCTGTCTGTGTCTCTCATCAGATTCCTGTGGACTCACCCTGGACTCAAACACAGCACACAGAAACCTCAAACTGTCTGACAAGAACAGGACGGTGACACGTGTGATAGAGGAGCCATATCCTGATCATCCAGAGAGGTTTGACTACTGGTCTCAGCTGATATGCAGAGAAGCTCTGACTGGTCGCTGTTACTGGGAGGTCGAGTGGAGAGGAGGGGTTAGTATATCAGTGACTTATGGAGGAATCAGCAGGAGAGGAGACGGAGTGGACTGTGTGTTTGGACAGAATGATCAGTCCTGGAGTCTGTTGTGCTCTCATAGAGGTTACTCTGTCAGGCACAATAAGAGAGAAACAAACATCCCCTCCTCCTCCTCCTCCTCCTCCTCCTCCTCCTCCTCCTCCTCTCGTAGAGTAGCAGTGTATCTGGATCATCCTGCTGGCTCTCTCTCCTTCTACAGAGTCTCCTCTGACACACTGACCCACCTCCACACCTTCAGAACCACATTCACTAAACCTCTCTATGCTGGGTTTGGGCTCTGGTCATATGGCTCCTCAGTGTCTCTGTGTCCTCTGTAGGAGGAGACCACTTCCTGTCCTGGGTTTAAGGGTTGCTGTTTTAAATCTGGCTCACTGATTGTGTCTTTACTGTCAGAAGTGTTTTTATCAGAGAGGCTTTTATGGAAATTGAGCATTTATATTTGTTATTAATAACATGACTCACAGTCAGCCCTTATTTTATTATACATTTAAATATATATAATTCACGTGATCAGAGTTTAACTCGTGTTATTTTCTCGTTCCTATTCATACTGTAGTTATTCTTATTAGTTTGATGTGTTCTTATTCTCCCTGTTTATTCTCATGTTTCTGTGTTTCTGTCTCTGTTTCTTATAAAACACCTGAAGTTCCTGATCAATAAAGATCTGATCTCCTTCACTTTGATCATGTTTCTTTATTTCATACAAACTGTGTACGTCCTCTGTTAAAACACAGAGAGAGGACTCTTTAAAGTAGAGACACTACATACTGATATACACCTGAACATCAGCAGGAGAGGACTCTTTAAAGTAGAGACACTACATACTGATATACACCTGAACATCAGCAGGAGAGGACTCTTTAAAGTAGAGACACTACATACTGATATACACCTGAACATCAGCAGGAGAGGACTCTTTAAAGTAGAGACACTACATACTGATATACACCTGAACATCAGCAGGAGAGGACTCTTTAAAGTAGAGACACTACATACTGATATACACCTGAACATCAGCAGGAGAGGACTCTTTAAAGTAGAGACACTACATACTGATATACACCTGAACATCAGCAGGAGAGGACTCTTTAAAGTAGAGACACTACATACTGATATACACCTGAACATCAGCAGGAGAGGACTCTTTAAAGTAGAGACACTACATACTGATATACACCTGAACATCAGCAGGAGAAGACTCTTTAAAAGACATACAAAATGGCGAATGAGACGGTTCTTATTTAAATGTTAAAGGACACTTGACATTTCATTCAGACTTCATAAAGCAGCAGTCTTCACAAAATGTAATATCAGCATTTATTGACGTTCCCAAAGGAAGTGTTGAAGCCATGACGTCTGCACACACACAACAAATATACAACACACTGAAATCACATTGAACAGCTGTAGAGAAACAGCATGTCTGGTGGTTTGAATCCGTCCTGCACGTTGAAGGCAGATCCTGTAGACTGAATATGAAACATGCAGGGTTTCCTCTCCAACCTCCGTGAGAGGAGTTTGTTTTCAGTCAGATGTCGAACTTTTCCTCGCAGATGAAATGTCCGTTCTCCTCGAAGTCCTCTCGTGTCACCACTATCTCCTCGTAGTCTGGACTGTGAGCCAGCAGCTTCCCGCCCTCCCACGGGTAACAGATGGGGCTGCAGGACCAGAGACCATGATGATGTTATACAATCACAGCATCGAATACAATATCATATATACGTTATTTAAGTGACTTCACTTTTTGCAAGAGAGCGAACTGGCTCCTTGACCAAAACCTCACTATTTCTTTACGGTAGTTTACTCATTCATTCGTGACTTCAATTCAAGCAACATTTAGATTTAGTCTAGATATCTCCAGCAGGGGCTCTGAATGAACTCACTTGTCGGGCTGCAGGACGGAGACGGGCAGGTGGGCGGGGGCCAGAGCCCTAAGCTCCGCCTCCAAACGTTCCCTGAAGCCCGGGAACAAGATGTTTCCTCCCGTCAGCACGATGTTCTGGAAGAAGTGAGCGTGCATCTCTGCAGACAGGAAACACCGTGAGAGGCTGATCACACAACCACACACACACACACACACCCACACACACACACACACACACACACACACACACACACACACACACACACACACACACACACACACACACACACACACACACACACACACACACACACACACACACACACACACACACACACACACACACACACACACACACACACACACACACACACACACACACACACACACACACACACACACACACACACACACACACACACACACACACACACACACACACACACACACACACACACACACACACACACACACACACACACACACACACACGGCTGAAACAGAGGGGATTATGGGTAATGCTGCAATGATCTGTTTGGTGTTTCAGCCAATCAGAGACAGGCTCTGGATATATCTGAGACCTGTGATATATTGATGAAGAAGAGGATAGTAGGGGAGCTTTAAGGCGTCTCGTGGCTTGATAGGAAACAAGGAAGGAAGCCATGAAAGGGTATGAATGAAGGCTCGTCTCTCCACCTTCAGGCAGCGACTGTATGGAGTGCACGATGGCCTCGGGGATGCCCATCTCCTGGATGCCGATGTCTGACGGGTGGAAGAGCATCTCGGGGACGGCGAAGCGCTCGTTGGCGAGTCTCAGGATCTGCTCTCCGGTCTTATACTTCCCGCTGAACACCATCTCCTCCCGAGGCTGCAGCATGGCGTGTCAAATGATCATATCATCATTTAAAACATACGATTGAAAGGGCTGTAAGAACTGTGCTGAAGGTTTCTTTCAATGGTATGGTTAGCATTTCCTTTTTAATAAAACAAGTTATGGTCTCCGTGTGGACGGGGCCTTAATGTCTTCCATTGTTGTGAAGCACTTGCCTTGTGTTGAAAGCTGCTGTATGAATAAACGTGCCTTGCCTACAGGAGAACGTCTGTGATGTTTTAGTCCTCACCTTGCAGAAGCCTTTTTTGATGGAGCTGAAATCTGGGAGAACGTAATCCCTGACCACCGTGTTCTCCTCGCCCTTCATCCTAAAGAGAAGAAAAACACGTGTTATTGAATATTTTATTAACGTGTGTTTTCTTATACAGCGTAGTGGAGACTTGACCAAAAACTCACTCTTTCTCTCATTCATTTGTGACTTTATTTTAAGCTAACTTATAGATTTTTTGGATGTTAAGTTTTAATTGTTTTCTCATCAATTTGTCGATTTTTCTCAGATAGTTTTTCATGTTTTTCTATGTAGACATGTGGTCTAATGGATAGTGAGGTGGGCTGATGATCGGAAGGTTGCGAGTTCCCGTCTGGAACACTAGTGTGCCCTTGAGTAAGGCACTTAGCCCTCGGTCACTCCAGGGAGAATGTCCCTGTGATGGGTCATTGTAAGTCGCTTTGGAATAAGGCGTCTGCTAAATTGTAAATGATATTTGTGGGAGAATAAACCCCACAGATCCTCCACTCCGGTGTGTCTCACTCATTAGCAACGCAGAGCAACAAGAACGTTGTCTGCTACAGTAGCCATGAACTCACATGTAGTTTGTTATTTGAGGGGGGGGGGTGGATGCGTGGGCCACCCGAATAGGTTAAGGGGCCTTTGGTTTTACTTGCCGGGGGGAACAAATCAAGTTCTGTGGGAAACACTGGAAACCAAAAAACTATTATTTTCTCCTAAATGTGTGACTTTCTTTAAACTTCACTTCATTTTATTGTTTTATTATTTGTTCTCAATTTGTAATGGGTTTGTGTTGATCACATTTATTTTGTCCTCTGTATTTCTAAAGGTTTTCAACTTGACTAAAGCGAGTAAATGTCTTAATAAGTGAACTGTTGAACAACTGAAGAGGTGGGAAAGCAAAGAGCTCCACAGTAATGACAGACACGAAGCAGAGGTGAACTAAACACGGTTTATATGACGCTCCTCATTTCTCTGCTCAGCCTCTAAAGGGAAATGTGTTAAATGTGTTTTCTGAGGACTCACTGGGATATCTCCATGTCTTTAAAGAACTGCTGCGACACGTAGCACACGTCCTCCTTCACCTGATTTATCACGTGAGTTTCATCCATCACATGAAGCTGCCTGCAGGAAACACGGATTATTAAGGGTTTTCATAGAAACAAAGATCCAGGATCTACAGATTCATCACCTTTTCACCAGGTAAAATAATACGACCTTCTACCACTTCAAATGTCATTTCCTGCCACTTTGTGTCTCTGGATGTTAACACTAGTCAAAGCTGCAGTTTGGTGTGTGGATGAGGCAGCATTGCATCATGGGAGTTGTAGTCTTTAGCGTTTCCTCTGTTAGGATTCCTTCAGTGTTCATGGTAAGATCAAAGTGGAACATTTGCATAACGATGTCGTGACCTGACCACGAACACATTATTTTTCTGAGCTATTTTTATCTTACATTTGTGACGTTATGTAAAGCACAATCTTATTTTATTTTCTCTTATAGATGCACTACTTTATGTCCTGCAATATAACCTTCTCTGGCACCGCAATATTCAAAGAATGTGTTCAAATGTGTCCCCCTCTAGTGGCCTTTACATGTAGTCTTGAAAATGCACCTTTACTTTAAGAAAAATTCACATTTCTCTGAAACGTTTATGTATGTTTTACACATTATCATCGACTGTGAGGGAGTGCGGTCGTCTTTCAACAAGAAGGTTGTGGGTTCGATCCCAGCCCATGCAGTCAACATGTCGATGTATCCTTGGGCAAGATACTTAACCCTGAGTTGCTCCCGATGGCCAACGGTGTGTGAATGTGTGTGAATGTTAGTTCCTAGTAAGGCACACTGCTCTGTATGAATGGGTGAATGACCTGTAGTGTGTAAAGCGCTTTGAGGGGTCTTAAAGACTGGATAAAGCGCTATATAAGTACAGTCCATTTACCATTTGAGATACCAGGAGATTACGGGGTTATAGTAGATCATAGATAACTGAGTAGATCTTACCGATATGAGATGATCTCCTTCAGGTGATTGGTCAGCAGCTTCCCTCCTACATTCACCCTGTAAGGCAAAGCAGACAAATATATTATTTTATATGGTTTGTGACGGTTAGTGGTTGTGACGGTTACTGGGTGTGATGTTTAGAGGTTGTGATGGTTACTGGTTGTGATGGTTAGTGGTTGTGAGGGTTACTGGTTGTGATGTTTAGAGGTTGTGATGGTTAGTGGTTGTGATGGTTACTGGTTTTGATGGTTAGTGGTTGTGATGGTTAATGGTTGTGATGGTTACTGGTTGTGAGGGTTACTGGTTGTGAAGGGGTTGTGACGGTTACTGGTTGTGATGTTTAGAGGTTGTGATGGTTACTGGTTGTGACGGTTACTGGTTGTGATGTTTAGAGGTTGTGACGGTTACTGGTTGTGATGTTTAGAGGTTGTGACGGTTACTGGTTGTGATGGTTACTAGTTGTCATGGTTACTGGTTGTCATGGTTAGTGGTTGTGATGGTTACTGGTTGTGAGGGTAACTGGTTGTGATGGTTACTGGTTGTGATGGTTAGTGGTTGTGATGGTTATAGGTTATGATGGTTAGTGGTTGTGATGGTTACTGGTTGTGATGTTTAGAGGTTGTGATGGTTACTGGTTGTGATGTTTAGAGGTTGTGACGGTTACTGGTTGTCATGGTTAGTGGTTGTGATGGCTACTGGTTGTGAGGGTAACTGGTTGTGATGGTTACAGGTTATGATGGTTAGTGGCTGTGATGGTTACTGGTTGTGATGGTTAGTGGTTGTGATGGTTAGTGGTTGTGATGATTATAGGTTATGATGGTTAGTGGTTGTGAGGGTTACTGGTTGTGATGTTTAGAGGTTGTGATGGTTAGTGGTTGTGATGGTTACTGGTTTTGATGGTTAGTGGTTGTGATGGTTACTGGTTGTGATGGTTAGTGGTTATGATGGTTAGTGGTTGTGATGGTTACTGGTTGTGATGTTTAGAGGTTGTGATGGTTACTGGTTATGATGGTTAGTGGTTGTGATGGTTACAGGTTGTGATGGTTAGTGGCTGTGATGGTTACTGGTTGTGATGGTTAGTGGTTGTGATGGTTAGTGGTTGTGATGGTTAGTGGTTGTGATGGTTATTGTTTGTGATGGTTAGTGGTTGTGATGATTATAGGTTATGATGGTTAGTGGTTGTGATGGTTATTGTTTGTGATGGTTAATGGTTGTGATGATTATAGGTTATGATGGTTAGTGGTTGTGAGGGTTACTGGTTGTGATGGTTAGTGGTTGTGATGGTTACTGGTTTTGATGGTTAGTGGTTGTGATGGTTAGTGGTTGTGATGATTATAGGTTATGAGGGTTACTGGTTGTGATGGTTACTGGTTGTGATGGTTAGTGGTTGTGATGGTTATTGGTTGTGATGATTATAGGTTGTGATGGTTATAGGTTGTGAGGGTTACTGGTTGTGATGGTTAGTGGTTGTGATGGTTATTGGTTGTGATGGTTAGTGGTTGTGATAATTATAGGTTATGATGGTTAGTGGTTGTGAGGGTTACTGGTTGTGATGGTTAGTGGTTGTGATGGTTATTGGTTGTGATAATTATAGGTTATGATGGTTAGTGGTTGTGAGGGTTAGTGGTTATGATGGTTACTGGTTTTGATGGTTAGTGGTTGTGATGGTTACTGGTTGTGATGGTTACTGGTTGTGATGGTTAGTGGTTGTGATGGTTAGTGGTTGTCATGGTTAGTGGTTGTGATGGTTACTGGTTGTGAGGGTAACTGGTTGTGATGGTTACTGGTTGTGATGGTTAGTGGTTGTGATGGTTATAAGTTATGATGGTTAGTGGTTGTGATGGTTACTGGTTGTGATGTTTAGAGGTTGTGATGGTTACTGGTTGTGATGTTTAGAGGTTGTGACGGTTACTGGTTGTCATGGTTAATGGTTGTGATGGTTACTGGTTGTGATGGTTACTGGTTGTGATGGTTAGTGGTTGTGATGGTTAGTGGTTGTGATGGTTAGTGGTTGTGATGGTTATTGTTTGTGATGGTTAGTGGTTGTGATGATTATAGGTTATGATGGTTAGTGGTTGTGATGGTTATTGTTTGTGATGGTTAATGGTTGTGATGATTATAGGTTATGATGGTTAGTGGTTGTGAGGGTTACTGGTTGTGATGTTTAGAGGTTGTGATGGTTAGTGGTTGTGATGGTTACTGGTTTTGATGGTTAGTGGTTGTGATGGTTACTGGTTGTGATGGTTACTGGTTGTGATGGTTAGTGGTTGTGATGGTTACCGGTTGTGATGGTTACTTGTTGTGATGGTTACTGGTTGTGATGGTTAGTGGTTGTCATGGTTACTGGTTGTGATGGTTAGTGGTTGTCATGGTTACTGGTTGTGTGTTTCCTGACCTGCGGATGCCCTCCTTCATCTTCTTGCTGCGGCAGTATGGGATGATGTGAGTGAAGGAGAAGCCTCCGTCCACCAGGAGGCAGCAGAGCTCCGAGGGCCGAGAGGAGAAGAAGTGGTGAGCGCTGAGGGAGCCGGCTGAGGGAGGGACATTGAACACACCGCAGACATTAAACACAGACATTGAACACACCGCAGACATTAAACACAGACATTAAACACAGAGCAGAGATTAACACAGGATTCATTGCTGTGTGACTGATTGCGACTTGGGGAAAGAAGCCTTTACTGTTTTATGATTCTACATGATAACCTCAATAGGAGCTTTAAATGTAAACAAACAGGTACAGTCAGTTTTTATCGGAAGGGTTCCTGATGGTTATTAATACCCTCTGAAGTGTGCCTGATGTTCCAGCCTGCTGGGGATGAGCTTTAATGAATAGTTGAATTATTAAAAAACGCGCTGTGAACAGGAAGTGTGTTTCTGCTGCTGGACTCACCGTTGGTCCGCAGAACCGACTGGAACTGGTACTCCTCGAACAGGATCTCGTTCATGGACTCCTGGATGGAGGAGAAGTTGAAGTAGGGCTCCGTGATGATGACGCTGGTGTCCGCAAAGTCCACCTGCAGGGAAATGCATCACATTACACTACATGGCACTTTTAAGACGCTTTGGGCTGAAGTGTCTTTCCCAAGAACACAACGACATGCTGACTGCAGTGGGGATTGAACCAGTGCTCTCCTGGTCAGCGCACTACCCCACTGAGCCACAGCCGCCCATTACATTATGTTGTGGTGTTTTAGTATGTTTCTCAAATAAAAAAAAAGCCTCTGTCGTTAGTCAAGGGTTTCGCCTGGATCTGTTTCCAGATGCAGAGACGGAGGTGAAGTTGCAGCACTTTATATGTATTTTGTGATCCAGGTCGGCGGCATACAAACACAAAGGATCAACATCGACTAGAGAGAGAGAAACTCCCTCTGGAGGGAATACAGGGACGTTAGCTTTGCAGACCATTATCATGCACCTGGAGAGCACACTACAGGAACAGAAAGGCGTCTTAAGGTTCACTTTAAGTGAAACATTGGACAAAGAAAAATAAGCAAACCTTAAACATCTCTTTCCCAAACAGATGATCCCAAACCTTCCTCTGGACGTCCCAGTTCACCAGATACCCCTGAAGAGAGCAGGAGAGAAACCAGAAACCATGAGAACATATCTTCTTTCAACAGTCAAAACGTGACCCGACTTTATAAAGCTGCAGCCTCTACAGCTCGACTGTGTGTGTTACCTTCTGGAAAGGGAGGATGTAAAAGAGTCCTGAGGGATCTTTGATCTCATCCAGCTGATTGGCTGTGAACGTTTTCAATCTCGACGTCTTCGAGCGAAACTGACAGTTTGGGATGACACTGAGAGAGAAAGAGAGAGAAAGAGATAGAGAGAGAGAGAGAGAGAGAGAGAGAGAGAGAGAGAGAGAGAGAGAGAGAGAGAGAGAGAGAGAGAGAGAGAGAGAGAGAGAGAGTCACACTGAGGAACACTACACATTCATATCAGCAGGAAAATATGCTTTAAAGAGTCCTCTCCTGTTGATGTTCAGGTGTATATCAGTATGTAGTGTCTCTACTTTAAAGAGTCCTCTCCTGCTGATGTTCAGGTGTATATCAGTATGTAGTGTCTCTACTTTAAAAGAGTCCTCTCCTGCTGATGTTCAGGTGTATATCAGTATGTAGTGTCTCTACTTTAAAGAGTCCTCTCCTGCTGATGTTCAGGTGTATATCAGTATGTAGTGTCTCTACTTTAAAGAGTCCTCTCCTGTTGATGTTCAGGTGTATATCAGTATGTAGTGTCTCTACTTTAAAGAGTCCTCTCCTGCTGATGTTCAGGTGTATATCAGTATGTAGTGTCTCTACTTTAAAGAGTCCTCTCCTGCTGATGTTCAGGTGTATATCAGTATGTAGTGTCTCTACTTTAAAGACTTGTATTCCTACACTCTGGTGCTTCTTATTCTACTGTACACAAAGCTGTATTAGTATTGTTGTTATTGTTGTTATTGTTGTTATTGTTAGCAGTTAGCCACCTCGCTAACCTCTCTGAACTCACCGCACTTTCTCCTGACTGAAGCCGATCTTCGCGCTATAAGCTCCGTTATCCAGAACTAAAGTCGCCATTTTGTCGCCGTCTCTCAAAACATGAAATGGAGTAAAATCTCTAAATGAATTAAACGGAACACATTTCCTTCACTGGAACAAACCCGCCATTAGCTTCTTCTTCTCTTTACCGTTCTGCAGAGGACGTGACGCTGTGAGGCAGCCAATCAGAGCTCTTCTCCTCCTTTTCATTATGTTCATTGGCGGTTGGTGTAGCCAATCAGATACGAGGCTTAGGGTCCTTTTGTGGAAAATGTCCATTGTCCCGTCTTCATGTAATCCTATTTGTGTTCTGTATTCCGAACATAACAGCAACGATCTCACAGAGCACTTCAACTGTTGATATGATATACAAAACAGCCCCTCTGTGGACACAGCCTTCAGAATAAAAGCTTCTCTGAGGACACAGCCTTCAGAATAAAAGCATCTCTGAGAATACAGCCTTCAGAATAAAAGCATCTCTGAGGACACAGCCTTCAGAATAAAAGACTCTCTGAGGACACAGCTTTCAGATTAAAAGCTTCTCTGAGGACACAGCCTTCAGAATAAAAGCCTCTCTTGGGACACAGCCTTCAGAATAAAAGCCTCTCTTGGGACACAGCCTTCAGAATAAAAGCCTCTCTTGGGATACAGCCTTCAGAATAAAAGCCTCTCTGAGGACACAGCCTTCAGAATAAAAGCCTCTCTGGGGACACAGCCTTCAGAATAAAAGCCTCTCTGGGGACACAGCCTTCAGAATAAAAGCATCTCTGACGACACAGCCTTCAGAATAAAAGCCTTTCTGAGGACACAGCCTTCAGAATAAAAGCATCATTACACTATATACTCTACATCATTACACTATATACTCTACATCATTACACTATATACTCTACATCATTACACTATATACTCTACATCATTACTCTATATACTCTACATGGATGGAGAAAGGAATCTGGTGGATCACTCTGTGATTTCTGAACACATGATGCATTTATTAGATGTAATTGAGTAAGTACCTTTATATATACAGTCTATGGTAAGTACTGAGAGGCGGTATCAGATCGTTTTGAAAGCAATGACTGTTTGAATTAAAGGCTTTTGTATTCTGTGGTTATGTCGGAGGAGAATCTCGGACTAGGCTAGTCGAAAGAGTCCGGACCTCCTTCTCAACATTATAACTGATTAACTTTCTTGGTGGTGCTAACGGGTTCTGAAGAGATCACTGGAGGCAGAGTTTGGTGCAAAAAGAACTTTACTTCACCAACGACAAACACAAAGTCTGAGCAGACCCGGGATCGTACTGTTGAACAAACTTTGAACTGTTGTTACTATTTATGGCATGACATTTTACCTTTAGTGTAAAAACAAGTTTTCAGCTCCAATAGAAACAAAACAAATATAAAATACTGTGACGATGAAGAAGATACCATGAAACCCGCACCTTTGGGGTCATTGTGTGTGTCTTTGGGGTCATTGTGTGTGTCTTTGTGGTCATTGTGTGTGTCTTTGGGGTCATTGTGTGTGTCTTTGGGGTCATTGTGTGTGTCTTTGGGGTCATTGTGTGTGTCTTTGGGGTCACTGTGTGTGTCTTTGTGGTCATTGTGTGTGTCTTTGGGGTCACTGTGTGTGTCTTTGGGGTCATTGTGTGTGTCTTTGGGGTCATTGTGTGTGTCTTTGTGGTCATTGTGTGTGTCTTTGTGGTCATTGTGTGTCTTTGAGGTCATTGTGTGTGTCTTTGTGGTCATTGTGTGTCTTTGTCGTCATTGTGTGTGTCTTTGGGGTCATTGTGTGTGTCTCTGGGGTCATTGTGTGTGTCTTTGGGGTCATTGTGTGTGAGGTCATTGTGTGTGTCTTTGGGGTCATTGTGTGTCTTTGGGGTCATTGTGTGTGTCTCTGGGGTCATTGTGTGTGTCTTTGGGGTCATTGTGTGTGTCTCTGGGGTCATTGTGTGTGTCTCTGGGGTCATTGTGTGTCTTTGGGGTCATTGTGTGTGTCTTTGGGGTCATTGTGTGTGTCTTTGTGGTCATTGTGTGTGTCTTTGTGGTCATTGTGTGTCTTTGAGGTCATTGTGTGTGTCTTTGTGGTCATTGTGTGTCTTTGTCGTCATTGTGTGTGTCTTTGGGGTCATTGTGTGTGTCTCTGGGGTCATTGTGTGTGTCTTTGGGGTCATTGTGTGTGAGGTCATTGTGTGTGTCTTTGGGGTCATGGTGTGTCTTTGGGGTCATTGTGTGTGTCTCTGGGGTCATTGTGTGTGTCTTTGGGGTCATTGTGTGTGTCTCTGGGGTCATTGTGTGTGTCTCTGGGGTCATTGTGTGTCTTTGGGGTCATTGTGTGTGTCTTTGGGGTCATTGTGTGTGTCTCTGGGGTCATTGTGTGTGTCTTTGGGGTCATTGTGTGTGTCTTTGGGGTCATTGTGTGTGTCTCTGGGGTCATTGTGTGTCTCTTGGGGTCATTGTGTGTGTCTCTGGGGTCATTGTGTGTCTTTGGGGTCATTGTGTGTGTCTTTGGGGTCATTGTGTGTGTCTCTGGGGTCATTGTGTGTGTCTTTGGGGTCATTGTGTGTGTCTTTGGGGTCACTGTGTGTGTCTTTGTGGTCATTGTGTGTCTTTGGGGTCATTGTGTGTGTCTCTGGGGTCATTGTGTGTGTCTTTGGGGTCATTGTGTGTGTCTCTGGGGTCATTGTGTGTCTTTGGGGTCATTGTGTGTGTCTTGGGGGTCATTTGTGGTGTGTCTCTGGGGTCATTGTGTGTGTCTTTGGGGTCATTGTGTGTGTCTTTGGGGTCATTGTGTGTGTCTCTGTGGTCATTGTGTGTGTCTTTGGGGTCATTGTGTGTGTCTTTGGGGTCATTGTGTGTGTCTCTGGGGTCATTGTGTGTCTTTGGGGTCACTGTGTGTGTCTTTGGGGTCATTGTGTGTGTCTCTGTGGTCATTGTGTGTGTCTTTGGGGTCATTGTGTGTGTCTTTGGGGTCATTGTGTGTCTTTGGGGTCATTGTGTGTGTCTTTGGGGTCATTGTGTGTGTCTCTGGGGTCATTGTGTGTGTCTCTGGGGTCATTGTGTGTGTCTCTGTGGTCATTGTGTGTGTCTTTGGGGTCATTGTGTGTGTCTCTGGGGTCATTGTGTGTGTCTCTGGGGTCATTGTGTGTCTCTGTGTTTGGTGTCTCATGTTGACCCTTGACCCTCTGGAGACATGCTGAGGCCTTGAATATAACAGGAAAGATTAAACACATAAACATCTTTGTGACTTTCCGAATACGAGTGTGAGATGTTTTTATACAAAGTGTCCTCTGTTCCTCTGCAGATGTTCAGCCCAGGTACTTTGGGATGCAGCCCTGCACCTCCACCAGCTCGGGCCACTGCTCGTATTTATTTGTCGCTCTATTGTTCTTTACGTGCTGAAACAAACAGAAAGAGACAAACGTCAACCAGGAGACAGGAAACACTGGATTATTCATCAGTTGATTCTGGCAGCGTATTAGGGCAGCGTATTAGGGCAGCGTATTAGAGCAGCGTATTAGGGCAGCGTATTAGGGCAGCGCATTAGGGCAGCGTATTAGGGCAGCGTATTAGGGCAGCGTATTAGGGCAGCGCATTAGGGCAGCGCATTAGGGCAGCGTATTAGGGCAGCGTATTAGGGCAGCGTATTAGAGCAGCTTATTAGGGCAGCGTATTAGGGCAGCGTATTAGGGCAGCGTATTAGGGCAGCGTATTAGAGCAGCGTATTAGGGCAGCGTATTAATTAGGGCAGCGTATTAGGGCAGCGTATTAGAGCAGCGTATTAGGGCAGCGTATTCGGGCAGCGTATTAGGGGTAGCGTATTAGGGCAGCGTATTAGGGCAGCGTATTCGGGCAGCGTATTAGGGTAGCGTATTAGGGCAGCGTATTAGGGCAGCGTATTCGGGCAGCGTATTCGGGCAGCGTATTAGGGTAGCGTATTCGGGCAGCAGCGTATTAGAGCAGCAGCGTATTAGGGCAGCGTATTAGGGCAGCGTATTAGAGCAGCGTATTAGGGCAGCGTATTAGAGCAGCGTATTCGGGCAGCAGCGTATTAGAGCAGCAGCGTATTAGGGCAGCGTATTAGAGCAGCGTATTCGGGCAGCAGCGTATTAGAGCAGCAGCGTATTAGAGCAGCAGCGTATTAGGGCAGCGTATTAGGGCAGCGTATTAGGGCAGCGTATTAGAGCAGCGTATTCGGGCAGCAGCGTATTAGAGCAGCAGCGTATTAGAGCAGTGTATTAGGGCAGCGTATTCGGGCAGCAGCGTATTAGAGCAGCAGCGTATTAGAGCAGTGTATTAGGGCAGCGTATTCGGGCAGCGTATTAGGGCAGCGTATTCGGGCAGCGTATTAGAGCAGCGTATTAGGGCAGCGTATTCGGGCAGCGTATTAGGGCAGCGTATTCGGGCAGCGTATTCGGGCAGCGTATTAGGGCAGCGTATTCGGGCAGCGTATTCGGGCAGCGTATTCGGGCAGCGTATTCGGGCAGCGTATTAGGGCAGCAGCGTATTAGGGCAGCAGCGTATTAGGGCAGCGTATTAGGGCAGCAGCGTATTAGGGCAGCGTATTAGGGCAGCAGCGTATTAGGGCAGCGTATTAGGCAGCGTATTAGGGCAGCGTATTAGGGCAGCGTATTAGGGCAGCGTATTAGAGCAGCGTATTAGGGCAGCGTATTAGGGCCCTGAAACACCAAGCCCATTTCGGCCATCGATAGATGTCTGGCCGTCGCCCTACTCAGATTGGTGTGTCCCGCACCGTCGTGTTTTTTCGACCGTGCCGACACCTTCCGCTGCCGATTGAACATGTTGAATCGGGAGCAGAGGCTGGCGGCAAAATAAATCACTCTGATTGGCTGTTCAGCTTAGCGAATCAGTGCATGAGAAGCGAAACGGTAGTGAAATACGCAAACAAACGATTACCGCACTAAGTTTTGGATTATAAGTCGTTATGTGAAACCGTCTGTGAAACCGTCTGTGATGGACGAGAGTGAAAATGGAACGCATGCTATTTGCTGTTTGTATTTATCACGCAGTCTGTCTTCCGGTTGCCTCTTTTGAATTAAGAATACACACTACCGCCGCCTGCTGGTAAGGAGAGTTATTGCCGCTCACGCATGCACAGTGCGTAGGAGCTACTTGGCTGTCGGCTGAAGTCTTTGCGGTGTGTTCCAGACGCGAGGCGACACAACAGTCGGGTCTGTCTGGACGTGTTCTTTGGTGTCAGTTTGGTGTGTCCGGCCCTTTAGGGTTTAAAAAGAAGGTATTGGCACGAGGGGGATAACGAGCAGCGGGGTAATAACAGTAACAGTGATAATGAGATAGTGACCCCCCTGTATTACACCTGTTTTACACGGTGCGTCAGATAAATGTGTCCCCCAGGATACAGAAACCATTTAAGGGTCGACGTGTGGAACGAAACTCTGAGTCTCTTGTAAAAATAGGAGATTTTAGGATCGTCTTTTTAAAGATCAAAATAAAACTTCATATATCAGGGTTGCCCACTCTCACGCATCTGGCGTGTGATACACGCTTTCACTCTCAATCTCACGCTCTCACGCTGCCCAAACTATTCTCACGCCAAAAACAAGATGAACCGGCGATCGTTTTTGGTTGGTTATTTACAATGTTGAGTTGACAGCTGCTCAAGCTGTCGATCTGCTCCCTCCCCGCCCCCACCACTCTTAACAACGATAACAGACAGCAGAGCAGTGGGAGCCGGTTGGTCCCCGACCCGTATGGCGCATGCGCAGATCTGAGATCCAGTAGAAATGATAAAAAGTAAAAGTCTGCTGCTTATTGTTCTACTAGGCCAAAATAGAGTCAAAGAGTATATGAGAGTGAGAGTGTGTTAATTAATATATTTGGCAGTTTGGAGTAAGTCTGTAGATTTGTTTGTGTGTGTGTGTTTCATGTATAGGCCTCTCACGATAATTAATTTAGTTGGATACATTTTCCCGGAAGTTATTGCGATAAACGATAATATTGTCGGCACCGTTGTATGACCATTTTAGACCACTGACATAATGATAATATATAATAATAATTCAAGTACATCCTTTCAAACTGCTAGTCACATCCTCATGTAAATGGAAATGTATCGAGGCCATTTTTATTTATCGTACGATAAGTCAATTAATTGCTTATCGCGACAGGCACACAATAAAACAGTGGAACCAAACATGTTTGACTTTCACTAGTGAATGAAACTGTGTGCCCTTTATAGTCTGTGTCCATTATTGTGTATTTGTATATATTGTATATATATCCTATATATATGCTAAGGTCCCGCTGCTGACACGATAGCAGTCATTTAGTGTGCATATGTGTAATTAAACCCATGATATCAAAATCTCACTCCAGCCAAGTACCCAAAGTTGGCAACCCTGATATATATATATATATAAATCGTTGTGCGGCAGAGGTATCGGGATTTAAATAAAATGTAAACAATGATTACGCACAAACAAAAGGCAAGGAATGCCGACAGTAAACAAAGAAAGATGATGTTTGATCCAGAGCAGTGGTTCTCAACTGGTTAGGCCTCGGGACCCACTTTTTACTTGGTCAATACATCGCGACCCAACATTTTGAAGCACTCAAATCTATTCAACAAAAAATCGTGCTGTAATATATACGCTTTTCAGAATACAATATTAATAAAAGTGAAGTACAGTGCATATATCCCTTCACAGAACTAAAGTATGCTTTTAAACAAGGTTTAATGAGATGATGGAATCAAAGCTGAACTATATAAAAAGGCACACATGCTGAAAACCCAACCCCAGCAGGGGGGTCTGGGGGATTCTCCCCCAGGAGATTTTTAGAAATACTAACATAAACTACGCATTCTGGTACACTCTGAGAAGAAAATAAATAAATCTATTACTACCGGACATATTAATAATATTTTATGCCATTGTTTGTTTTTCACTTAGTTCTGACATCTTGCTGCGAGAAGAGGAGATAGTCTGTGTGATTTACTTTAAATTGTGGGTAAGGGTAGATAGCTCCCATTGTTCTGTGACCTGTCAATCATCAAACCGGGGGTCATATTTCATTATGTGTTCATTTCTATCTGAAGTTGTACCCATAGATGTATAAAGAATAGTTCTACCTCAGTTATTCTCCGTGGGGACTTCCGCCAACAATCTTGATTCTGATTGGCCAGAAGACTCGAAAAAACATCAGCAGAGATGTTTTATTGAGAAGATGATCACTACGTGACAGAAGTTTTCAAAACCATTTATGGTCTCCGGTACTTCCAGTCCAACGCCTACTGAATGCACAGCGTTAGAAAATCGGTCCTTCAAAATAAAAGTTTGCATTTTTCCCAAAAAAAAAAAAAAAAAAATGGAATTTTTTTTTCAACTTTTTTTTCTTCACTCACACATCCGCGACCCACTTGAAACGGGTCCGCGACCCACTTTTGGGTCGCGACCCACCAGTTGAGAACCACTGATCCAGAGGGTTTAGACTTTCTGAAGCCACGTGAGATGATGTTTAATCCCGCTCCAAAACTACGATTTATCAAACAATAAACTCTGGTCGACTTTCCAGGAAAACAAAACAAATATCAGGCAATCGTCAGAAATAATGCCACAAATACTTAAAACAATGAGCCAAATAATGTGGTCGGGAAACTGTAGACCTTCCACCGTCCAACCAAAAAACACACAAGTGTCTGACGTCATCAATTCACAGAAAGTGTCCGTATCAAAACACAATTATATAAAAATAAGATCACATGAATATCTAAACGGTTCTTAAATTAATATATCATAAATGACGCTGTAACTCAAATATAAGTCAGCGAGGCGGTCGTTATTGAAAAAATAAATCCAGAGTCCGACACCAAGCCCCTGATCCTCCTCAGCAACGGTCATTATTTTGCTTAGCAACAGTGTGTTATCGAGTGTTAACGACCTCTGAACTGTCCAAAGTGACCAATCAGAATGGAGTATTCAACAGAGCCGTGCAATTGAATGGTGCAGTGACGAGTCCTAAAACCAGGAAGTGAGTCAGCATTTTACCACTTCCTGTTCCCTCGTCTCAGAGCCAATGGGATTCCTCCATAGGATTTAGGAAAATATCTGGAAATAAGGTCTGTGGAGACATGTGGAGATTATCCGGCTGAACAAAACGTGCATTTATCAAACAGGTTCGTTTTCCACAGATCTTATTTTTTACAATATTCCTAAATCCTCTGGAGAAATCATGTTGCTTTTTGTGGAGGGAACAGCAGCTTACTTCCGGGTAAATACGTCCTCCCTGCACCGCTCTGTGGAGCAGAATAAAGCTCCTGGTTATTACCTTCTCCACGGCCCTGTCCTTGGAGGCTCCTTTCCCCCCCACAAACACCCAGGTGTCCCTGAAGCCCAGAGATTTCACCGAAACGCTGCCGAGCTCCGAGATCAGCTGCCGGGCGTCGTCGCTCAACCTGGGGGAAACAAAACCACAATTTACGTAAAGATATATACTTAGATATATTACGTAAAGAGCAAGGATTATTATCTCAGAAAACTAAATGATTGAATCTGTCAATCATTTAAGCGTCTTTCTTTGAGCACCAGGAAAAGCGCTATAAAAATCCCATGTATTATTATTATTATTAATATTTCACGTATATATGTTTCACTTAAACATCAACGTTTTTTCTCGTAATTTAATGAAAGAAAATATATATTTTTTGGCGAATTTTAAAAATAAAAACAACCAATCTAAAATAATATAATAACTGGTGACAATAACTGCCCGTCCACACGGCAGCGTGCGTTGCTTCAACGGAGACGCTTCCCACTCACTTTGAATGGGGTGACGTCAAGCTTTGCCAAACTGCATTGTGGTTCCGTCGCGTCGCTTTGAAAGTTGAGAAAAGTTCAACTTTTCAAGCGTCGGCGGAAGCGCCAGCCAATCAAATCATATGCCAGTACAAGTGCTAGCCAATCAAACCGCGTGCTTGTGTGTCCGGGGCGGGAGATTAATGTGATTGGTTGTTGGTCGCACGCCAGACACGCCCACCGGCAAGCTTTAACGCACGCTGACGTGTGGACGCACCGTAACGATGACTTAATTATACTTTTAAAAGGAGTATAGAATAAAAGGAGAATAAACTCCCTAATATTAAATGTTATATTATTAACTCAGAAAACAGAATCTGTCAATATTTTCACATTGATGTTTCACTTAAACATCAACGTTTTTTCTCCTATTTTTAAGAAATAAATGTTAGAAAATATAATTTTTGGGCAAATGTTTTCCTTTGTTTCCCTCAGAATATCACACATTTGGAAACGGGTCCCATTTGAGCGAGGGTCTGAGGTGCAGCTTTCTGTCAGAGGAACATATCACTCACTTGGTGGCGGGCTCATCGTAGGACGCCATCAGAACCACGGAGCCCGCCTCCACGCCCTGCAGCAGCGCCACCAGAGGCTTCACATCTGAAACACACACACACCTTTACATCTCCTCCATTTCTTGTTATTAGAATAATTAGAGCTTTGGAACAGTTTGAATGAGGAGCTCAGGATGTCCGAACGTAAAACTGTTTAAAAAAAGGTATAAGGATGAAACTGTTTAATCATAACTGGGTATTTATTTGGTTAAAAAAGTCAACACTACGTACCACCGCTGTACATGTTGAAGAAATCTGTCTTCAATGTGACTCCTGTCCGACCTGAGGAGGAGACACTTTGATATGAGAGAGGAGACACTTTGACGTGAGGGAGGAGACACTTTGACATGAGGGAGGAGACACTTTGACGTGAGGGAGGAGACACTTTGATGTGAGGGAGGAGACACTTTGACATGAGGGAGGAGACACTTTGACGTGAGGGAGGAGACACTTTGATATGAGGGAGGAGACACTTTGACATGAGGGAGGAGACACTTTGACATGAGGGAGGAGACACTTTGACATGAGGACGGAGACACTTTGACATGAGGGAGGAGACACTTTGACGTGAGGGAGGAGACACTTTGACATGAGGGAGGAGACACTTTGACATGAGGACGGAGACACTTTGACGTGAGGGAGGAGACACTTTGACGTGAGGGAGGAGACACTTTGACATGAGAGAGGAGACACTTTGACGTGAGGGAGGAGACACTTTGACATGAGGGAGGAGACACTTTGACGTGAGGGAGGAGACACTTTGATATGAGGGAGGAGACACTTTGACGTGAGGGAGGAGACACTTTGACATGAGGACGGAGACACTTTGACGTGAGGGAGGAGACACTTTGACATGAGGACGGAGACACTGATGGACTCACCGTTTATTATAACCACGTTTATTCCCACTCCAGCGTTATTCAGGACCGACCCCAGGACCCTGAAGACAGTTTGGGACAAGGTTAGAGACACCGAGACAAAGACACCTACAGTTTGTCGTGTTGTTGATCGTATACCTCGCCAAAATAAAAAAAGGTATTTTCAGCTTAAAATGAAATACGATATGTTTTTTAAAGGGTGTTTCGTCATATCGCTCACTCATAAGTTGACCAGCTGATGACAATAGTGTAAAGTCAATAGGGTTCTTCCTCTGGGGATCATGAACAGTTTGAGGAGGACGTTTTACGATGCGACACCTACAGTTTGTCGTGTTGTTGAACTTATACCTCGCCAAAATAAAATCAGTTTTCAAAAGGTCTTTTCAGCTGACGTTGATAGTATGAAGTCAACAGGGTTCTTCCTCTGGGGATCATGAACACTTTTTAAAGACTTGAAAGGAAGCAGGTAGTGTTTACGGAGGACGTATTAGGATGCGACACCTACAGTTTGTTCTGGAAGCAGATCTTTGGAGCCACGACGTTGGCGGCTCCGCTCTGAAGCAGGAAGCTGAACTGATCCTGAGGACAAGATCTCTGAGAGCAGGGCCCCGCTGACAGGAAACACACAACACACCCCGTCAGAATAAAGCTCACATTCACCAGGCTGACAGGAAACACACAACACACCCCGTCAGAATAAAGCTCACATTCACCAGGCTGACAGGAAACACACAACACACCCCGTCAGAATAAAGCTCACATTCACCAGGCTGACAGGAAACACACAACACACCCCGTCAGAATAAAGCTCACATTCACCAGGCTGACAGGAAACACACAACACACCCCGTCAGAATAAAGCTCACATTCACCAGGCTGACAGGAAACACACAACACACCCCGTCAGAATAAAGCTCACATTCACCAGGCTGACAGGAAACACACAACACACCCCGTCAGAATAAAGCTCACTCCTCCAGGTAGCATCTCTCACCTCCAGGTGTTCCCTTCTTCTTGTTCTGACCAGACCCCTCTTTGCTGTTAGATAACGCCCGACGCAAGTCCTCTGCAACACACACACACACACACACACACACACACACACACACCACACACAACACACACACACACACACCACACACACACACACACAAACACACACACACACACACACACACACACACACACAGAAATGCCTTTGTTTACGTACAAATAAAAGTCCTATTTCCTGTTGTTATTGTGGGAGGATGAATGTTAAGAATATTATTAAATATAGAAAAAATGAAAAGTAACAAAGAAAGTGAGAACCTTT